TGGTGAGTGCACGCGCCATATAGCAAAAACCTCTCAAAAAAAAAACAGCTGCAGATCATCAACAGATACCTAAGTATAGGACTCAGGTCTCAGAACCAAGGAGTGGCTAGATCTAAGGTGTATAGACCTTAGGAGCAGGTTCTGCATCAAGCAGGTGTGCCCTAACTCCTGGCAGTCTTCAGGCCTGGCATATCGCACAGCGTTTGTGTGGGCCCTTTCCTTCTAGTCACATGAGGCCATTGGCATGAGCACTTCTGATCCCTGTCCCCTGTTCTTGAATGAAATGTACCCAGGTGATTTATAAGGTTGGATTCAGTCTATAGTATTTTGGAATACATTTTGCATAGTGTTGGTGAGAGGAAGGAAGTATCCCTAATGTCTGCCCCAGATCCATAGGCAGGAACTTGAAGGTCCTGGAAGTTGCCTTCAAACTATTGATTGCCACTCATCTAAACCATGAGTTCAGCAGCCTTGGCTGGTGAGAATTGTGTGACGTAGCTTCCTGCTGGTTTACTTAGCTTACTGCTGGCCAAGACGTATGTGCCACAGATACCACTGTCTGAGAAATGGGTCGGTTGTTCTAGGCCCCACAGTGTACATGTGGACTCCCATTCTCAGCACATGATCACATGTTCAGCTGTTCAAGATGGTGGTGGTGAAGATAGGTTTTATTCAGTGGGTTCTCACTTACTGTGGGCCCTTAAGATAAGCATTTTACTGATAGTCTGAAGTTATGTATTACTGTTCCCATCTTCCAGAGAAAGAAATTTGAGCTTAGAGAACAGTTTGTCTTATGTTTCCCACTTCACAAATAGTGGAGCCCATGCTACTATTTGTGTACTATTTATATACATACACTCTTGCTTGGTGGATATACTCAGCAGACTTCTGGAAGTCTGGAAGAATTTAATAACTGCATGGGACCAGCAGATGGTGCAATGGTTACATCGGTAGACTCCTGTGTAGTCAACCACGGTTCAAGTCCTAGATCTGACAGCTTAAAACTCATGTCCAATGGGGACCAGCAGTTGGTGTAATGGCTTTTCACCTGGACTCCCAAGTAGTTGACTGCGGTTTGAGTCCCGGACCTGGTGGCTTAAACTCACGCTGGGCACATGTGCATGCATGCCCAAGATCTCTAGAGGAGAATGGAGGAGAAGGGATTGGCCATGCCCCCGGGGGGTGATTTCTTACTTTCTCTCTCTCTATCTCTCTCTGTCTTTCTGGTGAACACACATGCCCTAGAAAAACAAAAACAAGCAAACAAACAAACCAAAAAAACCTCATGCCCAAGATCCTGAGAGGAGAATGGAGGAGAAGGAATTGTGGCATAGACATCCTCCATAGGGGTGATTTCACACTTTCTGTCTCTCTGTCTCTCCAGCAGGCATAAACATCCTATAGTAAAAATTTCTCTTAAAAAAAATAAAAATTAAAAAAATAAAAGAAGAAGAATTTAATAACTGTTGTTGCCTTCAGGGCAGGGAGCTTAGGTGACTAAAGAAGGGAATTTCTTTTCATTTCTTTGCTTTTGCCACAGGGCATGTGCACTTGCCAGACACACACACACACACACACACACACACACAGGGAACATAAGAAAGCACCCCCCTCCAGAGGGTTGGCCATGCCACAATCCTGTCTCTTCCTGAGATTTTGGGCACACACATACAAACACACACACCTGGTGTGTTTTTCAAGTTACCAGTTCTGAGACTCAAACTGTAGAGTCAGCCATGTAGGATCCAGCTGTCTTAACTACCATGCCACTGGCTGGCCCAGGAATTTATTTTCTTTGTGAACCCTTCTACACATTGTGAATTTGCCCTCAAGAACTAAATATAGGACTAGCAAGTAGCATGGAGGTTAGATGGCTGGATCCCAAAGGCCGACTATGTGGTAGGAGCCCTAGTGGCTTGAAAAACACACTGGGCACTTGTGCGTGCATTTCCCCAAAATCCCTGGAGGAGAATGGGGTAGAAGGGATTCTAATGTGACTGTCCCCCCAGTGGGGGATTTTTCACTTTCCCTCTTTTTTCTCCCGCTCCCCCCAAACAAACACCTGGTTAAAAAAAAAAAAAAAAAAAAAAAAAAACCTGGAAATTTATTTTTTTTATTTTTTACTAAAGGACATGTGTGTTCTCAGGAGAGAGATGAGATGAGGAGATGAGGAGTGGGGTGAGAAAGCACCCTCCAGGGGAAGGAGTCATGCCACAATATCGTCCTGTCCTTTTCTCCATCCTGCTGAGATTTAGGACATGTGTACACATAAGCCTGGAGTGTTTTTTCAAGATGCCAGGTCCAGGATTTGAACCACACATCGCCATGTAGGATCTAGCCACCTTAACCACCACAACATGAGCTAGCCCAATAAAAAATTTCAGAAAGAGTTTAAGTGAAGTTATAAAGTTTAATTATACCATAAGAGATCTAAAAGTATTTCCACTAGAAGAGCTAAAAAGTCTAAGATAACCACTTAGAATGTGGTGGTAGAGAAGTAGGAATAATTTAAGGGTAGGGGCCGGCAGGTAGCATGGTGGTTACGTGGCCAACTGTGGTTTGAATTCCGGACCTGGCGGCTTGCTTTCTCTGTCTCTCTCTTGCACACTCTGTCCCTCTCTGGTCAAATTAAATTAAAAAGAAATAAGTAAAGTGAAATAAAATAATTCTTTTAAAAAATATTTAAGGGTATAGTAACTGCCCTTTTTTTTCATATGAAAGAGCCCTAGACATTGTCTAAAGGTGACAGCAGAAATAGTGGTTTAGATATATGATAAAAAGAAGATATATGGGGACCCGCAGTTAGTGTAATGGCTATGTTGCTGAACTCCCGTGTAGGCAACCACGGTTCAAGTCCCGGACTCAGTAGCTTAAAACTCACACCGGGCGCATGTGTGTGTGTGCACCCAAGATCCCGAGAGGAGAATGGAGGAGAAGGGATTGTGGCATGGCCATCTCCCCGGGGGGTGACTTCTCACTTTCTGTCTCTCTGTCTTTCTCTGTCTGTCTGGCGAGCCCACATGACCTATAGGAAAAACCTCTCCCCCCCCAAAAAAGAAGATATGTGGATACCCGTTCAAAGAACTAAAGACTGTAAGGCCTACACTGATCAGAAGAAAAACTGAAAAGAAAGAATGCAGAGATGAGATTGTCAAAGATTTTTTTTTTTTTTTAGAGATTTTTGCTATAGGGCACACGCACTCGCCAGACAGAGAGAGACAAAGAGACAGAAAGCGAGAAATCACCCCCCAGGGGGGATGGCCGCACCACAATCCCTTCTCCTCCATTCTCCTCTCGGGATCTTGGGCACGCATGCACACGCGCCTGGCGTGAGTTTAAGCCACCAGGTCCAGAACTCGAACTGCAGTCAACTACATGGGAGTCCAGCGACATAGCCATTACACTAACTGCTGGTCCCCATACTGAAATATTTTTATATGAACTTACTGAATACCTAGAACTGGCTTCAGCATAATCCAGTAGATGGGGCATGACAAAAATGAAATATGATTAGCCAAGTGTTGATGATTCTAGGAGCCAGGTGATTTGAACTTATTTTATTTTTAGTTTTTGTATACATTTGAAATTGCTCACATTATTAAGAAGTTAATAAAAATCAATGACTAACCAAAATACAGGTGATTTTAGAGCAGAAATGGTATGCATGCTCTGGTTATAACTGTGTAAAAATAGCAATGAGTATGGAAGAGATACTAGTTGAGGTGGCAGAATGTGGTTGACTTTTCTGATTTTGAAATTTTCTGTAGTCTTGTGAATTTTACTGATGTATTTTCACCAAAGTTGGAAGTGATCATGGCATGCTCCACAACCTCTCTGTATATGGGCTGCCCTTTCTTACCATGTCACTATGTGAGCATCTGTGTTTGTACTTACCTGGGAATTGTGTGCTGCTTGGCCATGCGCCCTTTGAGAATATAATGGTTAGGGCCTTGACATGTGGTTAGTGCTTGTGGTCTATGTCTGTGGTCTGAACTGGTGATGACAAAATGGCATCATTTCCTGATGCGGTTTAATATTGGGTTGTGGGGCCAGCAGGTGACATAGAGGTTAAGGCGCTGGATCCCATCTGGCTGACTGTGTAGTTGAGTTACATACCCTGGGTAATGGTGTGTGTGTGCCCAAACTCCTGAAAGGAGAATGGAGGAGAAAGGATTGTGGCATAGCCATCCCCCCCCCCCCGGGGGACAGTTTCTCCCTCTCTTTCTCTCACTGGTGAGCTATACCTGCCCTATAGCAAAACTATAAAAGTAAAAATACAGGGGTTGTGAAAAAGCCCTTTGATCAGAATCTCTTGATTATCAGCCAGAAAGCAATTAGGAAGATAGGCGATTAGGAAGGGAGGCCACTGCAGGGCTGAAGCCATTCACTCTGAGATGTGCAGTGCCTAGAAGGGGGAAGAGAATGACAGTGTGAGACAGCGTTGGGGAAGCTGTATCTACACTGGGAGGCTGTGGAAGGGATGGTCAGGGAAGAAACAGGGGCTCATGTTCATGTGAGCCCTCTTCTTAATCAAAGCTCTGAAGCCGAACTGTTGGTTTTATTCCTCAGGCCTGGTGAGTAATGTGGTGTTCACCAGTCATACCACGGAGCAGAGGCACCCTCTCCTTCTTCAGCTGCAGAACCTCATCAGGGCTGCCAATCCTACTGCAGCCTTCATTCTCGCAGAAAATGGGATCGTCACCAGGTAAACTTTGGCAGACTCGACTCTGCAGGACTAGCCACTTTCTCACATATAGCACTCTGACTATAGCCCACAGTCTTTCCATTCTAAGACCTGAGTGTTTATCAAAGACAGGTGTTTTTGTTGTTGTTTTTCTTTGGCCAGGAGATGGCCTAATGGCTACGTTGCTGGACTCCCGCATGGTCAGCTGAGGTTCAAGTCCCAGACCCAGCAGCTTAAACTCACACTGGGTACAATGTGCGACATGCCAAAATCCTGAGAGGAGAACAGAACAGAAGTGACTGTGCATGGCCACCCCCTTGGGGGGATGACTTCTCATTTTCTGTCTCTCTCTGTTTCTCCAGTGAGCGGATGCTCCCTATAGCAAATAATTTCTCTCAAAAAAATATTCAGTTTTTGTGAGGTGCTTCTGATGCTCTGTAAAATCAACAGGAAGATCCCATATCAATATCTTGTACTGTTTTGAGGGATTTTGTTCTGATGCATTCATATTTTTGTCTATTGAAGGTTGGAAGACAAGTCTCTCCCAGTGTTTTTGTGTTCAGATATGAGAGAAATAGTATACAGAACATAGAGAAATGATCTCCTTTATTTGTGGACTTAAGGCCAAACTACAAACCAGAATTAGAGAATTAGTGGCTTCATATACGTGTATGTATGCATAAAGAAAAAGCACCTTATCATGTAGCAATTTTGTTTGCTCAGTTCAAATACTAAAAGGTATATAGATAGATAGATAGATAGATAGATAGATAGATAGATAGAGATATATATATATTTTTTTAAAGAATTGTTTTTTGAGAGACCAGCAAGTGGCATGGTGGTTAAGGCACTGGACACTTCCACATGGCCAACCACTGTTCAAGTCTCAGACCTGGTGGCTTGCTTTCTCACTTTCCCTGGCTCTCTCTCCCTTTCTGTTTCTCTCTCTGGTCAATGTAAATTAAACAAAATGAATAAATAAAATAAAATC